AACCCACCTAAAGAACCCAACAGAAACTCCCCACCCACCTGTAAAATATCTGGATGCTTGAGACTGACTGGCCTCCCATTTCCCCGTTCTCCTCATAGGCTGGGTGTTTTTATTCTAAACAACGTGAACGGTGGTGATGAGTTACCACAGGCAAGTAGCTGAGGTTAAGGCCTCTCCCTTTTTTGCCGCTGTGACCGCAAAACTGTATTGCCTAGGAGTTGTAAGGACTAGGAAATGCTTCTCCTTGTCCCAAGAGCGAGGGTGACCCTAAGCCTTGAGAAGGACGCTGCAGCCAAGGCCCAAATCAATCAATTACCTCGTAAGTCAGACCAAGGGCTTCCTTTGTGTTTGCACTGGGGCAGGGAGGGTCCCGTCATGAAAAAGTGCTGAGCCAGCCAGCGACATGACTGTACTCTACAAGTCAAGCAACCAGTTCTAAGTAATTCAAAGATGGGCTTGTACTGCTAACAATCTTGGTAACCACCCATGGGTTTTGTTGCTGTTGAGGTGACCTGACTACAAGTACTGTGGCACCTGTGTTGCCTAAGAAACCCAGTCCCAAACCCCACCCTGGGAAGGGGCTTTAGCAAGGTGTTGAACTCCATGCTCCTGTGATTCCAGGTGTGTAAGCAGCTGCAGTGGCCAGGAGTAAAAAACGGGGGTGAGTGTTTGGGCGCAATAAAGCAATACTACTTTTAAATGTAGATGTTGCTATTCTACCAATGCTCAAAGTACGTTCCCTCCTTTGTGCTGCCTTTACAAGAAAATGAGGAAGCTACGGTCCCAAATGTTGGCTAGGCCACCAGCAGTAGGATCCCTTTCTGCTCTTTCATGAAGAAGCGCAGCTTTTGCATATTGCCCCTTCTGAAGGTCTGACTTTTTTAATTGCAAAAGCGCTATAGCTTCCCTCATGTGTTTCCTGGTCCAGAAACCCTTGTGCTGCCGTTCACCTGTAACTCGTAGGCATCTAAAATTCACAAAGCTTTGCTGTACGTGCTTCAAGTCCTCTGGTATAACATATGATCTTGGAACTGACTGTAGAGCCCACAGAACCAGTGCCAGGATGTCCCTTTGCCAAAGAGTCGATGTAGCAGAGATGCATCCACATCATTCACAGGACTGAAGAAGCAGAATGAGTGTCACCCACATTGTAAGTCACGTGGAGGACAGGGAAGGCATGAAAAGGATTCATTGTCTGATTTAAGCTTTGAAAGGCTCGGTACTCTTACGTTCAAAAAGTGAGTTTGCTCTGTATTACCACGTTAAGGCTGGAAACCTTTTTGCAACAAGCCCCCATACATAACCAGTAAGAAGCTTACGCCATAGGGCTTAATCATTCTCCTCATTTATTGTGAACCTTCTGCAGCCTCCTTCATAGCAAACCTGTTCAGAAAAAACCCCGCTGGTTGTAGGTTGGTTTTCCTTACCCACTTCTGCAGGTTTCTCTGTTAGGATGAAGTCGCACTGGACAGCAGCATGTGTCCTGTGTAAGCAGTACTGGTTTTGAGTACGCTTTTGCTCCCCTTGCTGTGGATTATGCTGTAGAGTACGTGGTCACCATTCTCCTCCTGCAACACAGAAGGCTGTTAAAGGAGGGGGAGAGCATCTCCGTCTTTGGACTTTGAAATGAATCTTTTAATCTTCTTGCGCATATCCTCTTATGACTGATGCCTTGAATTAGGCAGAGTATCTAAAAATCTCTTCAGCGGTATAACTTAGCTGCCTTTATTTGAACTCCATTGGGGTTTTTTGAGGCCAAAACTATGGTACCAGGCAGTCTGTGAGCTGCATAGTGATGCACAGTGTAGAAACATCTTCAAGTACATCTTCGAGCAACAGAGTCAAAATGATATGTTGTTTTCGGGAGACATTCTGTTGTCACAACTGCAGCCATTTTATAATGTAATAATTTTTCTTTCCAATCCTAAGCAATGATACTCCATTCTTGAGAATATGCTGTCCGAGAATAAGAACAGTCTCAGGACTAGTTACTCGAATCCCATTTATTGAAACTCCACCATCCGTAATTTTCTGGTACCTTAAAAAAAACAAAGAAACAAACCAATACAATAACCGGTGATTGCAAGCAGCAGCTATTCATTGCTGCTAAGTGTTGAAAGTTCAGTTAAAGGTTTTTTTGGTTGGATGCATAATTGAATACATTTTAACTCTCTGGCACTTTACTTTCAGTCCAGGTCAAGAGTAACTGAACTTAACCTTAGCGTCTACCACTCCCATTCTTTCTGAGAGGTACAAGGAAACTTAAGCTGCTGCCCTACGTTTTAACTCTCTGGCACTTTACTTTCAGTCCAGGTCAAGAGTAACTGAACTTAACCTTAGCGTCTACCACTCCCATTCTTTCTGAGAGGTACAAGGAAACTTAGGCTGCTGCCCTAGGCTGTTCCTTCATCAGGTGGAGACTTTTACAGCTAAGGTACATGAGACTGCATTAGCCTACATCTTCAGCTCAACATGGAATGAGGCCGCCTACTCCTCTCTTCGTTAATGCTTGTACATAGATTGCTAGCCTGTTTCTCCTTGATTTGGCTGTCCTGATCATTTATCTGCTGCAAAAATACCACTGCAGCCTGTTTACGTGAGGTATTACCGAGGAGCACAAGTGATAACATACCCACTAGGTCCATCTGGAATGGCATTTGCTTTGCGACACAAGTCAAGAACGGTCATTCCAGGTTCAAGCATCAATTCGGCTGAAGGAGCTTGTCTAAAAAGTTCCTGTAACTCCTGGTCAGACATGGCTTCCAGTGCCTCCACGCTGCTGTGATAAAGGGCCTTAGTACACCTGTGAGAACAAAGAGTGTTCAAAATACAGCGCTAGTCTCATCTTCACACAAAGTGCTTCTCAGCCAATGGGAGTCCCCTCCCCAACGTCTTCTGAGGGTCCACACAGGAACAGAAGTACTTAAAAGCCCACCCCTATTTTTTTTTTTTAATATTGTTGTAACCCACTGCACTGCAATTATTTTTTATATTGTGTATGTATTTTTAAGTCTACAGAATTGCTACATTTTTCTCTTTCGACAGCTGAGCAACAACTAACTCCCTGGAAATAGTCCCTGAAAAGCTACGGGTGATTACCATTGAGTAAGTCTGAAAGAAAACTGCTTGACAAGTCAAACTTCACCTTTTAGCAGACTCTAGCCCCTCTCTACCATGAACGAGCTTGGTTACTTCTGCAGCGAGTCGTTTCTGAGGGCCCCATTTTTCAGGTTCTTTAGCATGCATTTCCATGATGTGGTCAATCTCCTCAAGAGGAAGGAAAGTGAAGAGTTTCAGGTATCTACGAGTAAGGAAAAGGTTATTTTGTATGTATGTTATTTGTATGTAAGTTATTTTCTATGTAGCCATCATTACAGCCTTCCTGCCTTTGTCACTCAAACTTCATTAGCTACACTAAAATGATGGTTAATCAGTTTAAGAAATCCGTATTACAGATACTCTGTCCTTTCACACAACTCTTTGGTTTTGCCCACATGCCTCAGCTTTCCCGGGTAACTTGCGTTTCACTTAATAGTCCACTTAGGGTCATGTCTTCGGCGTCAAATGCTTTTCTAAAGCTTGAGTTGCAATCAGCAACTCTGTTTTCTCTTGAAACACTTACTTTACAGGATTTAGTGCAATTGTGTGTCAACTAACAAGGTTTTATGTTACATTCTTAGCAGTTGCACAACTCTGTAATGCAGAATACTGCTGCCATTCTGTGGTGATCTGGGGACAGGTGTACGCTATGTACTGACAAGTGAGTTTCTCAACAGGAAGTTTATTCAGGATAATCAAGAATTCAAAGGTGCTTATCTAAGCACAGTCCATTTTAATGGGCTTGCAAGTAGTACGAAATGCAGTGTATTAAAAAAGGCGCCTTCACTGTTACAAAGTCTGACTGTGTGAAACATTTTAATGTTAAGTACCCACATACCCTTCTTATCAGTCTGGAAAGAGTTGTGGATACAGAACCTAAATTTGAAATATCAGGGCATAAACCTTTGAGAGAAGTAACTGAGACAGTTCACAATATGAAAGGCAAGTAGAGGCCTGAGGTTTCTGAGGACTCTGATTTGACAGTAATACTGGAGTTTAAGGAAAAGCAGATTCAAAAGAGAATACACAGCAACTTACTAAAATGAACGTAATGCCCTGACTAAAGCTATCGGCTGTTTCTTTTCAGCCATGTAAGTGGCACGCCAGCATGGAGGCTAGCCATCAAGGAAGGCAGCCTGTCAAAGGGTATTATTTCTCGTATTTTCGCTACCCCTTCATCGTCTCACTACGTGATTTGACTATTTTGACACTGGTCAGTAAGAATATGAGTTACGTGTGGTTGACGTGGATTCAGAGACAGCCCAGTGAATCCAAGCCCAGGTTTTGCTCATTGGAATTGCTCTGCCCTAAGTAACGACAATTCTGAATTTTGTCTCTGTACGTGCAACAGCTTTTAAGTAGTAGCTGGGCAGAGTAACCACCTCCTAGACATATTTTTATCTAGACCAGTGGTCTCCAAAGTGGGGCGCCAGCACCCCAGGAGGTAAGCAAGATGATCCACTGTGGTACAGGAAGAAAATTTTAGAACTTCAGCAGTACCTGTATATAATCTATTAATAAATACACATGTGTTGGGCACGCATGCTCAAAACGTTTTTTACCGATAGGGGCACGTGATCAAAAAAATGTGGAGAACGTTAATTTAGACCGTTAATACAATCGTAAATAGGAACTCCTTGGATTTTTCCTTCACAAGGCACTACTTTGATTTGCTTAGGGATATGCAGTTTGTAATGTGATGCAGTTGTAGAAGCTGAACTCTGTGTTTGTTTATAACCAGGTAAGCATCTTCTTGCAAATAGAATGTGGCGTTTCTGGATACTTCGTACTACGTAAAAACCTGCAGTAATTGCTATTTATTAAACAGCAGTTGCTTATTACTCAGCAGGAGAAATTTCACTCAATACTGTGATGTTACGGTACTGAAACCAGCATGCCTTGTGAGATAAAGTCACCCCACTGGCAGAACCAAACGTGTTGTGCTTTACTTGTCTGTTCATCCGCATTCTAGTTCTTTGATACATAGGTTCCACTATCCTGTATACTTGGGAACGAGTCACGCCTGTTTATTTAACAAACGTACAGTTATAACTGACATATACCGGTACAAAGAGCTCGCGTTGCACGTATCCACACGGAACAGTTGCAGAGAACAGTTAGGATCAGGTTTCATAAAAAAAAGACAAAAAGCAAGATGAAGAAAAACGACTTACTTTTCAACTATGTTATCTTGTTGTCTGACAAAAAACTGATACAGCTCAAATGGAGAAGTCATATCTCTGTTTAGCCAAACTGCATTGCCAGCAGTCTTTCCCAGTTTATCTCCAGTAGTACTGGTAATAAGAGGTACAGTAATTCCAAACACATCTGTTCCTGTCACCCTGAGGAGAAGAGTTGCTACATGTTAAAAACAAATAAAATTTAAAAATCACATCTTGGTAAAGTTAAGTAAAACTTTGGCATTCTGTAAGATTCTGTCCCTGATGTAAAGCAGTTAAATAAGCTGGGGGGGGGACAGGACAGCGAGGAGCAAAAGATGCCGAAATGCTGTTTTGCAAAGAGTGCTTTAGGAAGAAAAAAAAAAAACCACCCTTGAACTTACTAAGTTCTTTTGTGCATAACAAAGTCGTTTAGATACTTTAAATAAATAGTTGCATGAGCAACAGAAGTAGCAAATTCAAGCGTCCTGTATGTTTTGCCATCTGCTCTGAGCACTAATTGAAGCCGCTTGCGTGGCTGGGGCGCTTGTGAGGCTTTTTCTGCTGCGCCGATTCTCTAACGTCTTGTAACAGCCAGGCAGGGACCAAAGCAGAGGCGTGGTCACGTACTCGCTGATTTGCTTGAACACTTCTGCAAAATTTTGTAAGACCTGCACTGAATGCAGTGGATAAGCAAAAGCTCATCAACATCAGGTTTTGCTTTATTTCCGAGAGAAGAAATGCGACCATCTTCACCAGTATGCCACAACTGCCCCTGCTTCGGTGTGGTTACGCATTTGCCAGCAGAAGACTTGCCTCGATGGTCTCCCACATTTTGGGATGTCTGGTTTCAGTTCTCGGGCAAACGCATTCACTAAAAGAAGAATCCATCCCTTACATTAAAAATTCATTAACTTTTTGCGGAGAAGGCTTAAGACCACGGCCAAAAGGCGCGTACGTGCCAGGCTCGCCATCAGGACCATTAATTCTTCTTAAGACTCATAGAATCATTTGGGTTGGAAAAGCCAAACTTCAAGATCGTCCAGTCCAGCC